CCCCCCCCCCCCTTTCACTGAATCAACCCTCTTTCGGTCTGACACCCGACCGGCCGTAGACAACAACGACAGCACACCTGCATCTCGGCCGCAAGCGCCGCCAGTACCCTCTCCCTCAGCACGGAGTACGCTTCCCAGAAGCCGCCATGGACTCGTGGCAAGGCCTGTCTCGCCACGGGGATCCTATTGTACACGGTTGCCAAAATAGTCACACGAGGAAAACACCGAGTGCAACAAGTCATTAACAAGAAGGTCTCTGGACAGTGCCGCCGGGTGTCGCAGTGAACACACGCAACGCTTAGCTGCAAAGGGATGCATACGTCGTTGCCGACATTGGTGGAACGCAACGTGTTGATGACGCGTGCAGCAAGGCTCTGAGGGGGGTGACGAGGGACGTGCATGCGCCGTCCATGCCACGTTTCCGTGCCGCAATGACCGAAAAAGTGAACCAAGCTCGTGTCGATTGCCTCTCCGGCAAAATCGTCGCCGATGTGAGGACGCGCAGAACCGCGCGGCCAGATGCGGCATTCGACGATAGAACGTTTTTCTGTTATAGCGAACATGCATATGCCATTGACTAAAATCGGACAAAGGGGAATCGTGCTTTGTAACCTGTGACCATAGCCTCGAATCTGATATTCCTTTCAGCCGAGAGAAGACCTTGAAGAGGCTGCGGCCGCCAGCCCAGCGACGACAAAAAGAAGCATTCAATTACTCCGTTCGGAGATGTATTCTATATCCTACGCGCCCGCCTGAAAAAAAAAACAAACAGCTGTGCACGTGCGCAAGCGTCGTGTTCCCAATTCGCAGCTCTATCCAGGCTATGTATTGCAGTGCGGACTTCCTTCCCCTCTTGGTACCCCCCCCCTCTGAGTTGCACGTTCATCGCCTCCCCATGCATGATATTTGTTCCGCACCTGTGGATGACTGCCTTGAAGCAACGCGCCGCGGCGGTGGTGAAACTCCCGTCTCCCCGGGGATCGATGTGGAAATCACCCTCCCCAAAGTTGCCACCAGCTGCTTCCAAATCGTCGCCGTCGCCAACAGCATCGTTGCTGTACGCATCTGGTGGTATTTTTGCAGTTGGACAAGAGCCGCAGTCGCACGGCGTGGGGATTACGATACAGGAGCAAAAGTTACCACAACGCGATCACAGAACAGTCGGCGTTCGTCAGCGCAGCAAGCAACCAATTGACACCGCTCCAGCGCAACATATCGGTTTCTCGGCATGGCATGTTAGGAGCCTGGCTCTTGGTGTCGCCACTTGACCACTTGACTACGGCAGGGATGCGGTGTGTCTATTGCACTTATGTACGGTTAGCCCGATAAGGTGGAGGTTTCGAGGCAAGAACGCCTGTGAAAGCTTCAAAGGCAAGCCAATAGCCACCACAACGATGACGACGCCAAACCAACTGCGGGGCCCAAGTTGAACCGCTGCTGCGGATTGGGCAAGGCTTCCGGCCCCAGGCTGAATCCTCAACTCGCACATGCGCAGCAAGTACACTCCGGCGCCTGTAACGCACTCTCCGGCATCTTGCGACAGTGCTGGCCCTCCAACAGTGAGAGGGCGAATGTTCCGAAGACAAGGAGGCTCCTCAAGACTGACGACCTTGCTCAAAGTCGCAACAGCCAGTTTCATGTGTCCCATGTCCATGATCCGGTTTGGACCTGCACAAGGCGTTCTGCGCTCATGGCCGAATGTTCCCCACGCGAGTGCTGGAGAAGGGGGGTACCACCGCGCATAGACCAAGTGCCAACTCGAAAGGGCCGTGTAGGGAACAAACATAGTAACCAACCTGATGCATCTTCCTAATGAAAGTGCGAAGACGATTGTCATTTTCTACGGGGTCATCGCACAAGCTTTTCCAACCTTGCTACCAGCAACTTCACGAGCAAATAACCGTTGCCTCCCGCCCGCAACACACAAAGTGGTCTGTCTGTCTGTCTGTCTGTCTGTCTGTCTGTCTCACCGCCTCCGAACTTGCTTTCGCCGTCGCTGTCACCCCCGCCGCCTACCGAAGAACCATCGGCCCAGTGCTGTCCCTCGTGCCTTTGTCCCTCTTCTTGCTCGTCTCCGGCCGCTGGGACGTGCCGTTGAGCGTTGGCATCGCCGTCACCGTCGACATCGACATGCCCGTCCTCGCTATCGCTGTCGGTGCCGTTGCCGCCGCCAGCGCTGTTGTTACCACTGTCAATGTCAGCGGGGGCGTAGGCAGCTGCGGACCGACTGTCGACAATACGACCACCACCATCGCCACAGCCACCGCCACCAACGGGGTGTGCTCTGCCGTTGCTACCGCCGCCGCTCTCGGACATGAACAATCGGACGAGGTCGTTCGGGTTCTTCGGACGGGACGGGGCGGGAGCCCCCGTCGCAGCCGCCTCTTCCGGCTTGCATGTCTCATCACCGGCAGCATCACCAGCACCCGGCCGCTTGTCTCTCGCTGCCGCAGACTCGTCGCGTGATACTCCGCCCTCCGACCCTTGCTCCTTCCCGTCTGTACCCCCACCCCCGCCCCCGGCCTCGGCTACCGAGGACGTCACCCCCGTTTCTGGCAATGACGACGTCGCCCCGGACGCGGCTCCACCAGCACCACCGCCAGGAGCAGCAGCACCAGCGGCTTCCTCTCCTTCCCCGCCTCCGCGGGAGGCACCGCCGCCTTCGGGAGCGGAAAGCGCCTCCACAGCACGCGGCGTGGAATCCGACGCAACCTTCCCAGGAGGAGCGGGAGTCTTCGTCGCGGAGGCGGCGGCGGCCGCGGAGGCGGCGGCGGCGGCGGGACGATTGGTCGGGGACGAACCTCGGCCCACTCGGACGGGCGAGAACCTCGCCGCCCCCGCCCTTCTCGCTCCGCGGGGAGCGGCGGCGGTGGCCGAGGAACGCGCCGGAGAACGGGAGCGCGAAGCGTCCGAGCGGGACCAAGAGGGGCCGTCACCGCTTCCAACTCCGCCGTCGAAGTTGCGGCTGCCGTTGCCCCTGCTGGTGCTGTTGTTGGAGTACGAGCGGGAGTCCCTCTGGGCGTCGTTATCGCTGAAGACACTGCTGTAGCGCCGGCTAGTGTACGTGTTTGTAGGCGGGGGGAAAGGGGGGTGGGGCGGGCGGTGTCACGACTGACGAAGCCCTTTTCGAAAGTACTTCGAAATCGTCCTCAGGCACCGTTGCCCTGGAACAGGGTTCCTTTTCGCCAATATCACATTCACTTTCACTCTCAGAGCGTACTGTGGGCGTCACGGCTCCCTCATTGCGTAAAACTTCTCTCTCCACTGGTGGAGAAACATGTCGGCCGGCACAGCAGATGGCCTAGGCGAGCGACAAGCAGCTAATACCGAGCTTAAACACAGAGAGCCCTGTGGTCACCACATATGCCCAACCACACGCCTACACTGGATCTTTTTTCATTCGAAACCGAAACTCCAGCGTTGGCCTCGATCGTTCCTACCCAATACCTTTCGGTGGAAGAGTGAAGTAGTTCAGTGGTGACGATGGGACTTCGGGAGTAAAAAAAGGGCTTAATGGTGCCGCACAACTCCCGCAGCACCGCTTAAGTAGCGGGGCCAACACGATTCACACATAGCAGCACCAAAGAGTTCGCTGAAACACTAGAGTGCCTGGTGCCACAAGCGGTAGGACCATTTCAGTGCGCAGCGACAGCCAGCTAAGGAGTTTCCGTGCGATAGCGTAGGACGTAAGCAGAACCAAACGAACCAGTTATCGACGGAACAGCGCATCACCATCCATCGATGGTGAACGTGCGTACCTGCTGCCGTCTGGAAGTTGTATCTCGACCCGCTCTCTTCCCGGGGGGAGAAGCTGGGGAAGGGGCACCTGTGACAAACGGCGATAGGTTAGTGCAGCCCTTCCAACAACCCGAATGAATGGAACGTCTCTGGAAGCCGGTCGGTAGCAGCGGTAACTGAGCAATGGGCATCTTCTGCCTTTGAAAAGGTGGGGCCGCTTCATGCGGCAACGAACGGGAGGAAGGCTGCACCCGATGTGGTTTGCCAAGCTCTTGGCTCGTCTGCCCAAGAGGATGGGTGGAACAGCCAGCGGTCTTGTATCTGGTTTGCTTTTTTCGCTTTCCGACCAGCCGAACAGGCCACACACAAAAGTCGCTCGTACACGCGTATTCCGTCTTGGTTGGTCATTCTGTGAAGAACAGGCTGGTTGACCACAACCATCCATCTTCCATGAGAAAACAACGCTGCCAGATGCCAAATTGCTGACCATGAGCGAATTTGGTGCGGATCGCACTAGATCCCTTGTTTTGGGGGTCGTTGGCCGGTTCGTCGGTGTTGCCAGCATGATACACTCACAACCGGCGACTGAAAGGAAGTCTCCGTTGCCAAAGGTGTTTGTTTCGCCACTTTCAGCAAGCGGCAGATGGCGTACTTGTGACCACCTAGGCAGCCGTCACTGCCGCAAGCACGGTTTTATTGGCGTCTAACCTAACCGGTTACCATTATGGGGTTGATAGGTTGCATGCCGAAGATCTGCCGTCCCAAAAGAAAAACCAACCCAACCCACTCTCGGAAATATTTCCAGCACAGAAAGCAACATCAATATACAAGAATACAGCAACAATAACAACAACAACAATATGCACGCAAAGGCATTCGAGCAAGAGGGTAAAAAACAACAAGCAGAGGGAGAAAACCAAAAAGGACAAACACGAAAGAGCGGCACCAGCACTACTCCCAAAATGAGCAAGCCGTGCACAGATTCTTCATTCCCGTGCAGCAAGTCAGTTGTACCCTGTTACCTGATGAAACTTGAGGTCCGTCATGAGGTTTTCCATCCTGGCGGTACCGCGGAAGGCCAGAATGAGGCGGTCCTCTCCTCGACAGAGGATGGCTCGGATCTCGTGCTTCTCGTCGTTGAAATATGCCTGCGCGGCAGAAGCATTAGGCGTAGGGACGAGTGCCAAATGTCAAGGTTGTGCCGCGTGTTCCATCGCTTCGGTCTGTTCGCATTTCACTCTTTTTTTTTGTTCGAGCTTCCCGCCCTTGTCGTAGTCGTACGTCTTTGGTTACTATCGTTACTATCGTTACTATCGTTACTATTTATGCATTTCCGAGCTATTGGATTAGCTAGTACCCCGTATCGATACATGGATACATGATCGCTCCATTCTCTGTGTCCATTCCCTGCTTGAAACACTCACGTTCACTCTTCGATTGTACTTCAATGAGCAAGAATGAGAGGCGAAAGGAACGGCATGCCGCACGAGTCGCTGTATTCCATTTCGAACATGCCAAGTGTAGATGAAAACAGGGTTGTAAGGGTAAACATGCCAAGCCAACGGGCAAGCATGTCCGATTTCGCCACAATGACAAACGGAGCGGCATCACAGATGAAATGACCTTCGGCATCAGACGAGGAAGTAGAATGGCANCCCCCCCCCCCCCCCCCCCCCGAAAATCCCGTTGTAGCACTCTATCAACGACCCCTACATGGTCACAAGCAGAGGCATCTCCAGTTTCGACCAACAAACACGCCCGGCTCGCGTTCTTGGGCCTTGCAGCAGTCAAGACGACCGCCAGGACATCAACAACAAAGAGCACAGCCGACACAACGACCACAAGACACGAAAAAGAGCAGCTAGCAGCTAGCTAGCATAGCTCACCACTAACACGAGGCCGAGGTAGGACAGGTCCTGCCGCCCCGGCGCGACGAAGTCGGAAAGGTCGACCTTGTGGGGGTCGTAGTACGCCTGCCATGCCACTTCCACCAGGAAACAGCTCGTCTCCACGCAGAATAGCGGGGACAGCTCTTGACTGTCCTTGTACCTTCTCACCACCTCCCTGAAAAGTCAACAGATGGCACCAACAGATGGCACCAACAGATGGCACCAACAGATGGCACCAACAGATGGCACCAACAGATGGCACCAACAGATGGCACCAACAGATGGCACCAACAGATGGCACCAACAGATGGCACCAACAGATGGCACCAACAGATGGCACCAACAGATGGCACCAACAGATGGCACCAACAGATGGCACCAACAGATGGCACCAACAGATGGCACCAACAGATGGCACCAACAGATGGCACCAACAGATGGCACCAACAGATGGCACCAACAGATGGCACCAACAGATGGCACCAACAGATGGCACCAACAGATGGCACCAACAGATGGCACCAACAGATGGCACCAACAGATGGCACCAACAGATGGCACCAACAGATGGCACCAACAGATGGCACCAACAGATGGCACCAACAGATGGCACCAACAGATGGCACCAACAGATGGCACCAACAGATGGCACCAACAGATGGCACCAACAGATGGCACCAACAGATGGCACCAACAGATGGCACCAACAGATGGCACCAACAGATGGCACCAACAGATGGCACCAACAGATGGCACCAACAGATGGCACCAACAGATGGCACCAACAGATGGCACCAACAGATGGCACCAACAGATGGCACCAACAGATGGCACCAACAGATGGCACCAACAGATGGCACCAACAGATGGCACCAACAGATGGCACCAACAGATGGCACCAACAGATGGCACCAACAGATGGCACCAACAGATGGCACCAACAGATGGCACCAACAGATGGCACCAACAGATGGCACCAACAGATGGCACCAACAGATGGCACCAACAGATGGCACCAACAGATGCCGGAAAGAAGTGAAATCGAGTTTATCGCCGACCACGAATTTCATCCCAAAAACACATTTGTCCAACTATCACCAAAACCTGAGGTAATGAGATGGCACCATGCATGACTGGACGCGAGAAACGAGACAACTTCCAGGAGACGAACGTATCATCCATGTACGACGTGAGGGAAAACCGCCCCAACTCTGCAAGTACAACCGATGTGGTTAGTGAGTGGCTTGAGCGATGCCACCCTTCAAAGGGTGAGAACGGAATGACGGTTCACAGGAATGCAGGTGTGTAGCGTGCATGACCAGTGATTGCGATACTTTAAGACATCAGCAGTAAATCTTGAACAAGCCACGATGATGTACGTCGTGCGTGCTCTGCATGTAAACCCCAACCCGATTCGTCCGGCGGAAAGCTACATTCTGTGTTAATGCCGAAGCATGGCCGCCAAACATGCTACGATGACGGGCTGGAAAGACTCAAGACAACACCCAACGCCAAAAAGAGGCCCCACTCACGATAATTGAATGTACCCCATGCACGTACCTTGGGGGCATGTCTCTCTCCATGTTGATGTACATGCGGTCGAAGAGGCGCTTGACGGAGTGCGTCGGGGGCAAGAAGAGGTAGGCCACGTTGTAACAGACGGCGCTAACCAGGATCAGCTTCCCGAGAGGCTGCCGAATGCCGCCCGTCCAGGCCGACAGTCCCGCCGCGGCGCTCGTCATGGATTCCTGAGAAAAGCGAAAAGACCAAGTTGTAACGTCGTGAATGGTAAGCCTCCATGGCTACCTGTCTGTCTTTGGTTCGCCCGCATGACCGCGTAGGCACGGGTTCCTCGAAATTTCATTCCGGCAGTGGTGGAGACACCTTCCGCCGCTGGAAATGTGCGCAGTAAAACCAGGCACATTTTGTGCTATCTTGGCGAATGCAAAACGTTTTCCCTCGACATGTATTGCGCGATACGCCCGTTCACGCCACTTGCCGATGTAAAACATGAACGGCGTTCAAACCATGGCTAACACGGGTGGTGAAAACCACCCACCCACAAACATTTTCTTACTCTCAAAGGACGACAAGGGCTGCCAGTCTTCAGACTTCGGCCATGCATCTGCAGACCTCGGCCTTGCATGCAAAATGACCGCCCCTACTGTGGCCCCGATTCCGTTGAAGAGATCAGACTGACCAGGGTGAATCCGGTCGAGGCGCCAACGACGACCTGCTGCCTCAACAGGTGCCCCACGAGGTAATAGATGTCCACGCCGACCCACATCCCGAAGAGCACTGCCACGAGCATGCCCTGCATCACCATCACACGGTACGACAGCTGCTGCCTTCGCGTACCGAAGAACGGCTGACCGCGCAACACTCGCCCTGCCGCCGCGTGCGCCCCCCGCGCCGCGAGACGGACAATGAGAAGAAAAGAACACCAGAATTAGGGAAGCGTAGCAATCTGTGAGCGTGGAGGCATTCATTTCGGTTTTCAGAAACCTACGGTGTGTGTATTCGTCCGTGGCAGAGCAATGTTCCCCGGGCAGGGACGGTCAAGAAGATTAAACGATATTTGTGATCATTCGGGCAGACAAGAGCAGCCGTTCCGCAACGGAACGGTTCGCACAAGCAAAGAACGCACAAACAGTGAAAAGAGCGCTTACAAGGAACAAGGGCCAACATGCAGGCTCACACAAAAGAAGCTGGCCGATGAGTTTAATCCAGGGAAGGAGCCATCAAACCAAACAGACTCGACACGACACACGGTGACTTCACGCGGTGAGTCGACGCTCGAGACCCCGCAGGAGGGCGGTGGAGAAAAACAAGAAGAGTTTTGTCTGGTGGCTTTCTCTTGTGTGACCCAGGCTGGTGCGTCCAAACATGCAAAAAGGTGTACAAACCGCCGACCAGAAACCTATGGAATGACAACATACACGTGTTATATAGCCATGGAACTCACCGCTAGTGACGGCCACAGCGGCGAAGTACATGGTCCAGCCCAACCATAAAAGCCCTGACACCATCGACATCATGGCGTACGATAGCTGCAAGTGCAACAAACACAACACCACATACACCAACAGGCGCCGTCGAGGAGAGTGATTGCGACACAGAAACACACGTAGGACCGGTACCCGCACCGGCCGCGCGCGGTATAGGACAAGGAAGAAACCCAGCGCTCGTCGTAGAAGAAAGGGCCAGCATAGTAAAAGGCCAGCAACGAAACATGCGCAAGCAACCAACTCGATCTAGCGTTATTCGTCAAGCTGAGAGTGCTGCCAGTTCATACGTGTTTTCATCAGCGAGTTCGACGCAAAGTGAAGTAGATCGACTCTACTCCGAGCACAGAAGTGCCACGCCTAACCCAGAGCCACCAAACCGCACCAAGAACCACCGGCATCACCGCACTCGCGAAGCCCTATTGCAACTGCGCCTCCAACATACACACCGGTACCGACAGACAGCCATGCGAAAGACGACAGACAGCAATGCGAAACAGACACGTGTCACAATCACAAAATCACCATGTTTACAGACTCGAGCCTCAGCGGAAAGAAAGAGAGGGGGGGGGGAAGCGTAAATCAAACTTACATGTTTACTGAAATTGTAAGACAGGCCTACCTCGAACCGCCCGTTGAGCCAGTCGACTTGGTCCAGACGAGCGAGGTAGGGGTGGCGCAGCACCATCACGCCCACGCCCACCAGCAAAGAGAGAAACCCATATAGAACCTTCGGCAGGATGAAGTCGATGAAGCTATCCGACTTGGGGTGGTGAGGGGGGTACTGCATATTTTCGTTGTCATGGTGAAAATAGCAGAAAACCACAGAGAGGCCCAGACACAACAGCGTCCAGAGAAGTCAGCAAAGGAGAATGTCGGGGGGGGGGGGGGGGGGGGGGGGG